AATTAGGTATGCCATAGATATATACATACATATTAGTTAAACCATACTTAATACAGTACGGCAGAAACGCCATGCAAAAATAAATGATCGGGACAATTTTATCGTTATTATATTTCAGACATTTCAACAAAAGTTGAGTACATTTTGCAAATTTTTGAATTTCCAAATCACTGGCCATTACATCGAGACTATTAGCCCGACACTCGGTTTGCGATAAAACGGCAAATATTTTTAAAAATGTTGGTTTAATGTGCCTGGTGTAATTATAGAAATAAATTAATTGTCCGCATAAACCAGTCATTGCGCCAAATATGATACATAATACGTGTGTCTTATGGCAAGTGATGTGAGTCTATGGTTTGGATTCTCTGTCATTATGTTTTAGAAAATCATTAGTGATATGATTACAAAATAGAAAGTCTATTATGAATCACATTTTGTTATTGAAAATTATTTATTTATTTCAAAATCTAATTTTACAAATTACAATGTACCTAATACAATTCAAACTAATTTAGATCATCAATATGACGGTTACTAGTCGCTTAATTGATAGTGTTATTTATTTTTATGTATCTGAAAATTATTTTTATTATATAATATAATTTCAATTTAAAGTACATTATGATAGTTTTTATGAAAATATTTTATAAAATACTTAGCTTGCATAAAAAATTATACTAATAATTATAGTAATAATTGCATTGTACATTATAATATAAACTAAAATTTTATTGTAGTTTGAATTCATTAATAATTTAGATACATTGGTTTATATTAATTTTTAAAGTTGCAATAGTTATAATTTAGAATTTAAATTTTTAAAATAAAATAAATTAATATTTTACATATTATATATCATTTATTGGTTTACTGCTTAATGAAATATTAAAGAATTATCACAATTATTTATAAAAATGTAAATGATAAATGTATATACGACAAATACAATTTTCTAAAATAAAATATTAAACAATATAATGTATAAACTAATGAGTATATATTTGACTATTATTTCACATAAAAAATTTAAACTTAATTATCAATGCTATTTCAATTAATGTAAACTCGAGATATTTATTTGACTTTTAGTTATGGGACTCGAGACTCCAACACTATTTCAAATGTATATTTAATTTATAGTTATTTGTTATTATTGTAAATATTGTTATTATTATATGAACCGCTGTGTTAATGAATAGTTATTGTAAATCTGTGTAGTATTCACAGTATATCTCGAGTAGTGGACTCATTATTAGTCCTTTTGAAGTGGGGGCCCACCCCTGGACCTGCTTTACGGTCAGTCCCCGCTTCAATTGTAATAATTATTTTCCTAGTCTCCTTACATCTACTGTTTTAAATATGAAATATGATATTTTAGAAATGTGCATTAGTCAAACAAATTATTATCTACAGCATGTATATTGGCATATTTAATTTAATAGTATTTATAATGATACTAAATTACGAAATAAGTTAGATCATTTTATCATTAACGATATACTTGTAGATTAGTACTATATACATAAAATATTGTAATTATTGTTTAATGAGTTTGTAATTATTTAAAAACATATGATAACATAATAATTATAACTAATAACAATAGCAATGTATAGCTATAACTGTAGTATCATTTCACTAAAAAGTCATTTAGTTTATTGTTAATTATTACATATTTTTCGTAACAAATTTAAACAAATAATTAATTTACACTTGTTATTGTTATAATATATGATAAACTTTTTAAAAATCAGATATGGAAAATTATTTATATAAAATTGGTTTATGCCTGGTTAAATATAATAATGAAAACGTACATAGAAACTTTCTACATAAACCAATTGTCCAGTTCATTATAAACATAGCTTTCTTACTTAAATTTGTAATTATGTCCATATGTCTAAATGGTCATAATTATTATGCTCAAATTGTACTCGGTGACTTTCCACGAATGATAGGGCTAGGCTTTGAATTGCATACGTGTTTGGTGTTTGGTTCATTCATGGGATTATCATATCAAATAATTTATTTTTATAATTACATCAAGCAGATTAAACCTTCATTTTTAAAAGTTTTTGCTATTTTATCACAAACCGATTGTCAAGCTATTAATCTGGACATAATTGCACCTGACGCTAAAATCCAAAAACTATCTAAACAGTCCCTGAAACTATTTAACTATTGAGAGCTAATAATAAATATCTGATCCCTGTTATTTATTTTGGCATAGGTTTTTTGCCATATTTCACCAAGTACGATATAACTCCAGAAATATTAATTTATGCCCTAGTTAACTCATTTATGGTNTTTTTTATCAAGTTTAAGTGTACTAAAATGTATAAGCTATTTTTATGTAAACGGTTACAGATATCTACAGTACAGAGTACTACACAATGTCATATTATTAATGATAATTACTTAAAAATATATTTAATAATAATGTACAAGTTGCTTTACATATATTTATTATTATATTATAACAAATATATTAATAATAATTTAATGAACAATATAATTAGTATTTATCATTAAATATTTTAATTAGTTATATCCAGGACAAAATACTTATCTAATTGAGGATTAATTTATTGATTCTAAAGGTATTAATTATTAAATATTGTTTTCTAATTACTTACAAATAATTGAAAAAATATTAGCTTATTTAATAATTTATAGTTTATGACTGTATAATAGTTTAAAGCTGTATAATAATAAATTTATAAGTATTTGGCAGAATCTTAATAAATAGTAATTTTATAATAGTTAATTATAAAAAAATAAATATAGCTACAGTATATAATAATAATATGGCATATACTATATGCTAACCATAAGGTATAGTAAGTATTAGTAGGATTATTACTGTTGTAAAAAATTAATTTTAATATCGTAATTAATGAATTTTATTTCATACATGATTACAGTAAACAATAGATTTAAAGTATTTATGTGTTTATTATAATAAATTTCAATATAATTGTTCTGAATAAATTATAACTATTTTTAAATTATATAATGTTAGAACTGTATATCGAATTTATTTTATACAAAAAATTTTGTGAATACAATAATTGCAACAAAACTTTATGCGATTTGTTTGCTTCATATGTGACCGAAGATGCCGTGAATATAATGAACACAAATAGTGTCGATATTGTGAGCAAACAATAAATGAAAAGTATTTTTATGAATATCGACACGGATTTGAAAAATATGATAATACAGACAAAAACAATTATACTGCCAAAACAAAACCATAATATAAACAGGGACTTTGACCAATAGGTTGAGTTATATTGATCCAATTCACAGATAACCTGGTTAAGTCTATGCAGGTACCCGTTTACTAATATACACTGAGGATTTGCCTGTATAGATTTAATTTTATTATTTAGCGAGTTGATTTTCAAAATGAAATATTTGCAAAGTATGTAAAAATACAATATTTGAAACGATATAAAGTTCCATGATACATAAACCATTATGGCAAACATAAATGAATTAGCTAGGGCATAAATTAATATTTCTAGACTTATATCGTACTTGATGAGATACGGTAAAAAACTTATGCCAAAATAAATAACAGGTATCAGATATTTATTATTATCTTTCAATAAGTTAAATAGCATCAGGGACTGTTTAGATAGTTTTTGGACTTTAGCGTCAGGTTCAATTATGTCTAGATTAATAGATCGACAATCGGTTTTTGATAAAATAGCAAAAACATTTAAAAATGAAGGTATAATGTGCTTGATGTAGTTACTAAAATAAATTAATTGAAATGATAGTCCCATAAATGGACCACACACCAAGCACATATGCAGCTCAAAGTCTAGCCCCATAATTCTTGGAAAGTCACCGAGTACAATCTGAGCATAATAATTATTAGCTTGTAGATAGGTGGATATAATTACAAATTTAAGTAGTATAACTATGTTTATAATGAACTGGATTATTGGTTTGTGTAGAAAGTTTCTGCGAACATTTTTGTTATTATATTTAACCAGGCATAAACCAATTTTATATAAATAATTTTCCATAACTGAATGTGTTTTAAATTTTTTTTATAAATCCTTAACAAATGTAAAATAAATTTATTAAACTAGGCTTAACATTTAATTTTAAATTTGTTACGAAAAATATGTAATTAACATAATATTATATATAAATGAAAATACATTGCTATTTATATTAGTCATAATTACTTTGCTACATGTGTTTTTATAAATAATTACAAAGCAATTAATTGAACAATAATTAATTTATCCGAAATGATCAAAAGTAGATCAAATCGATTAGGTCAAATATATTAAACATATCGCTTATATTATAATAAAATGATAATATCAATGATAAATATCAATTAGTAATTTTAAATAAATTTAAACCTTATATTAAAACTATTATAACTACGCGTACTTATACTGTGCCTAAATGAAATAAATTGGATTATATTGTAATATCTTACCAGATATTCCCGCCCATATCTCCCATTTACTGTAAAACCTTCCCACTAAGCCCTAACCCATAGACAAATTCTTATACTTATATAACACTATGTAAACCTAATACTAAAGAGAGTTGTGCTGTAGCCCTGAAAGTGCTAACTTCAAGGGTTTATATCTGTAATGTGTGTCCAATAAAGCAATTATTCTTTAAATCGTGATAATTATTTAATAATTCTAATAAAATTAGTACAACTCCCTACTCACCGGTAATATAGAGGATTGGAGAGCAATTTCTATATTACAATATTTAATTATACACCTATACAACTATGCAGTTGTTTTCAATTTAAAAAAGTGTAAATCATTTTAAGTTTTGTAATAATGACTTTATATTAATATGTTTTAAAAGATTATATCATTTAATAATTACAAAATTGAATGATAAGCATTATTTTAATACTTTTAGTCTATTACTGTTGAGACTGTATAAAAGTCTAGTCTATTATTAATCCAGCACTTATTTATTTTCTAAAGTATACTTTAACTAATATTTAGTATAATAATAAAATTTTTAATTAAAAGCCTTCAAACTGGATATAATTAACGGATTAATTGTTTTAGCTATCACATTGATAGCAATATACATCTATTTGTAAAATACTATTTTAATTATTATAAAAATATATTTATAAAACTATTAATAATTAATTTTAGGTCAATATGGTGTAGAAATGATTACTGGTCTAAACAAGGCATTAATGGTCCCTCACCTCTACCAATATTTGGCAATATTATGAACGTGCTCATTTCAAGTCAAAAGGATCGTCTACTTGGCTACCAAAAGAAATATGGCAAAATATACGGGTAAACAGGGTAAGATTTTAAACATACACATATTACTATTGTATATTGTAGCCATTACATGGGAAGCATACCGGTGCTAAGAATCGCCGACCCGGAGCTAATCAAATTAATTCTGGTGAAGGACTTCCACGTGTTCGTCGACCGGAACATAGTATGGGCGCCGAAAAACTCGATCCGTACCCGCAATCTGAACCAACTGTGCGGCGACGACTGGAAACGTGTCCGCTCTATCGTGACGCCTATTTTCTCGTCGGGAAAAATGCGGCGAATGTACCCTCAGATTAGGCAATGTTTGGCGTCATTCCTGCACTACTTGGACGTGCTGGCTGAAAATCGCCAAGAATTAGACATGCTCGAAACGTTTAGCAAGTTTTTGCTAGATGTGAATGCTACAACAATTTTCGCTACGAAACTAGATTTGTATAAATCGGCGACAGATGGCAACACTACTAGTGAACACCCGTTTGTTTTCCACGCGAGAGATAAGTTGGTGTTTAAGGCCTGGAAAGAGATGGCGTCACTAGTGCTGCCAAAGTTTTTCCTTAAATTGATACGTTTGTCGGATACAAAAGCTAATAAATTTTTCGAGGGTTATATCCGCCACATGTTAAAGGATAGACGCGATAATCCGGGTAAGAAACATCAGGATTTTGTTCAGCTGCTTATGGATGCTGAAGTAACTGATAGGAAGCCTGGCGATGCTAGTGTCACCACTCAGGATGATAAGGATAAAAGCGAGCTTCATCATGTTAATCAAGGTATGTAAGAGATATTTAGGTATATTAATTAGTTAGAGGTGTAAGTAATTTTAAGTTAATCTAGATTATTATGATTCAAAATTTACAAAAAAAAATGTTGTGACATTCCTAATATTTTAGCTTTAATAATTTTAAATTATTAAATTAAAAATATATTTGTGATAACTAAAGTGCAAGTCATTTTAAAGTAGCAATTTCTAGCACATTACTACTATTCAATATCAGGGTAGAATTCTACAAACTTTAAAAATTAATTTAATATTTAGTAAAAATAATATTATAATTAACTTTTGGGAAGTGAAATTGGCAGTAAATCTAAACGTAATTTATAAATTGAATTTAAGTTTAATTGTGAAATCTAACAATTTTATTTTAGATATGCGCTCAGAATGATCATAATGGTGTGATTATTTTATTTTTATAATTTGTGGT